TAAATGTCAAAAGTTTTAGAGCACATTAGGGCAACCAAAGGACCTCTCAGAGCCTTTCTCTCGCCTGTCAACGGCACGCAACGTTTTGCAGTTTGCTTCTGATATTTTTAGACATTTGTGCAAAGTTTTAGTTTTTTAGTTTCTGTTTTCATGCCAACATTCGAAGCCATCGTCGTTGTCGTTGCTGCTGCCTCCCTTAATAATTATATTTTGCGTTTGTTCCATTTCATTCGCCCATTTTAGCGTCAGCGTTGTTCTGTCACAGGATATTTTAATGCTCCTCTCGGTCCGTGGCTCTGCCAGCGCACGTTAAACAATCACATTAAGTAGATTGTGAAGGCGTCGGCGACAGCTAAAGACCTGAATGGGACTTGGCACTGGGTGGCGATGCGCTGCACACTTCAATTATGTGCCCATTGCTAGGCGGCAGCGCCATTAAATGTTGTGTTATGTTGTAGATTTGGAGCCATCAAAAGCTTAACAGTTGCCCAATGATTAGATGAGCGCCTAGGGTTACAACCGAATGGCCTGCACATGACAAGACTCAGCCAAACTACTTTAAACTAAGAGCGTGGGAGAGCATAATGAACCTACGCTTAGTTAATGGACGCTAACCTGTCAGGGGTAACAAGGTGCCATTAAGGTGAGCTCTGCTAGCAAATGTTTTTAGAAGAGCTTAATTAGACTGACGATCCCAAACTTAATAAAAGGACACAGCTCAAGTCGCTGCATTGTGTTAAGAATTGGCTGAACTCTCAGGATATTTAGTTGTCTTATCAGAGTCTGAGGTCATATCAATTCAGCTCGACTTTTCATAGTAGCTGACGTTTATGTATTTCACACTATTATGGCAATCATAGTTGCAGCTGATGCTGCGAGGAAAGGTCACGAGTCAATTCAGTTGCCCTTTTCAGCAAATCAACAGCAATTTTAGCGAGTTTTTTCAAAATTCTCAGCATCCGCATTTATTTTTCTTTTTCCTGCTGCTGTATTACATATTTTATAACACACTTTACGGGCGTCATAAAAATAATATAATTGGAAAAAGTCAGCGCTCAAAGCCGGAAAAATAAATTCAAGACCGTGCGGTAAATATGAAAGGAAGGTAAATATGAAGGAAACCCCCCTGGCATGAAACGAATGCGAAAAGTTCAACTCAAATCAATTTATCTCCAGAAGGCAAATGTCAAATGTCAAGTAATAATTACTTATCGGTTCTGGGCGTGGCATTTGTGCAAGCGTTAAATGATCCTTTCATGTGTTATTAATTGCTACACAAGATCATCACAATGATAAGATCCGTTTTTCACAGTGTTTACCTTGGCTGGCAACCATAGCATATTCCCATTTGCTTGCCTTGCACTGCGTTGCCTCATACACCTTCCCAGATGTCTCTTAAACTGCTATTTACCTGCTTGCTGGTAATTTGTCAAATGTGGATTTGGCCATTCTTTTTCATTTGCTTAGCTGTTGCGTCTTTGGCTGGCGAGCAGTTCAAGCGAGGGTAGCTCGTAACGTTAGCTTTTTTCGAAAATTCAACTTTTATCCCTTAAAGTTGGCAATACGATCAGAGTGACATCTCGGCACTCCAGCAGCACTCCTTATGCAGAATGTCTGATATGGTTACCCTCACACACTGTGCAAGAGCTTGTGAAAAGGGTTGACAGGACCTAACATTAGCTTCTGCCTCATCATTGGAGAGGTTGAGCGCTAGCGCCAACAAAAACGCTTTCATCGGGCTAACATGCTGTACGTGTTTCACATTAAATTCCTTATTCCTTATTGTGTAAAGTACAAAAATTTGCAACATTTTGTTCCTGTCATCTTAGGAACCTTCTACTAAATTATGTATCCAGTTTATCGTTCTGTGTTGAGAGCAAAGTAAATTTGTTAAATAATTCAAAACCATGCTGAATTTAAAAGATTTCTTTATATATTATGTTCGAATTGTAACGTCTTAAATTTTCAAATAAAAGATTTAATAATTTATTTTCATATTTTAACTAACAGCAATTCTACATTTCAAAATTAATATCAAATTTATTTATTTGAAGTTAGATTTGTTATTTTCTACATTGTAAAGGAATTTTAAACTTTAATTCAGTTGCTTCAGCTCGTGTTTTTAATTGAATTTGTATGTGCATAAATGTAAGAATTAAGAGATCTATCAGTCTAATCAACTTATGTAACCACCCTCGCACAGCGATGCCTGCTGAGCATTAAGTATTGTGCGTCGGCTTCATACCACCTGCCTGGTTGCCGTACTACCTGTTATTATTTAGCTTTTTTCACAGTTAGCGTTATTTTTCTGTGCAAATGCAATAAATATCCCTTGCCATTATCCTTAATATGTTGGGCGAGGGTGTATGTGTGTGTGGGTGTGTGTTAGGGTGTGGGAGAGCTTGTTTGCGCACGTGGAGCCATCGGAGGCTTAACGTAGCAACGGGGGCGTTGCTAAGCGGGACAGCAGCTTTTTTCTCTGCTCTTTAAAATTGCGTGTCTCCGAGACTTTGAAATCAGAGCTAGCGAAATCTTAGCTCGCCAAAGTAATCCAATTAAAGTACAAACTCTCGACACAGACTCAATTAAAAATAGCGCCTGCAGCCATGGAAATAAACTCGACTAATTTTAACGCGCTCGCACTTTTGCCGTCCATCCAACTATTCTGGCCATCGCTATTTGTTACTTTCTCTCAGCGAGAAGCCATAAAACGACGATAAGCAATCAGACAGATAGACTAAAAAAGCGAAGGGAAAAGCCATCTACGTTGGCATTGGCGTTGGCGTTGGCGTTGGCGTTGGCTAGCAGTGCAATTTGCGCATCGGCAGGCACGAGGGACGCGGGGCAGCGTTGAGTCGAGCAATGCGATGTGTCGCTTTGACATATCCTCCACACATTGCAGTTCTCCGCGCTGCAGTGGCAAATTGCAGCTGCTGTCGCTCGCTTTGCTCCTCGCTATCCTCGCTTCAATTTGCATAAGTGCGTTCTGTGTGTTGGCTGAATGTTTTCGTCTAGCTTGCTATCCCTTGGCTTGCCATGAACTTTAAACAAAAACAAATTTCTTTGCTATATTTAATTGCATATTGGTCTCGTTTAGAGCGAAATTTAATCAAAAGACCCTAGTGTTCTGTGCATGAAATAAAAGAAAAGGGAATTCGATTTGTTCAATCAGCGTGAAAGTTAAACTCATCGATAAACTATAAACACTCTTAAGTGCTTATAGAATACTTGTCTTTGATGTCCTATACATTTGATACACAAAAGTCAGTGATTTTGTAGTCTTTTATGAGCTGACAGTGTTCTGAAAATATGAATAAACATTATAGAGTGCATAGGTTCTATGCTTAAGAATGCTTTATTTGTTGTCAGACACCTTATACAGAATATATATGAATATATTTCAATGAAAGTAAGACTGCTGTAGCAGCTGCTCTTTTATGCATTCTAACTTGCAATACATTCATGCAGACGAACAGACGGACATGGCTAGATCTATTCAACTCTTCGTCCTGCTTATGAATATATATACTGCACGTGGTACGTGTCTACATTCGCAGGGATTCGTATACAGAGTACAATATGACCTGCATTGAGTTGCATTGTGCGGACAGCACAGACAAAGGAATAACATTAATTAGTTTTTTCTTTGTTTATTTTATGAATAAAGAAGGCGCCCGTTATTAAGATTCAGGTCAATGGAATTAGCAGTCAACCTATTTTTATCATTTTATAGTTTTTGCCACTCAGTTAATGTTCTCTATTTGAATCTAAAAAAAGCAAATAGTTTTCAAATACAAATACAAATACTTAATTTCTATTAAATTGTCAAGTTTATGGTTTAAATAATTTATTTAAAAACTAAGTGGTTTAAATATTTATATTTTTAATGAATATATCTCAGCATAACTAGCTAAGTCAAAGTGTTTGAATTGCAGAACAGCTTATTTAAGGTCAAATGTAGTTAGTAAGCAGAGAAGACGTTTTTGTAATTGCTTTAATTTTTTTTGCTAAAGGGATTCTTTAGCTCAACATGAACATGTTTCTGTCTAAACTCCTAGCCCGGCTGTATGGTGTGATTCAATTTCCAGTCCTGCGGCATGACTTATTTTTCTGCAGAACGGCAACTGCGGCAAACTTTTATAATTAAAACTTTTGTCTGTGATTCGGTTTGCAACCGAAAAAAATGGAGCAACAAAAAGCCACATCAATATGAATTGCTCAGAGCTACATACATGCGTGAAATATTTCCTCGACAAGGACCAAAAAATGTTGTACATCACGAAAAGTCAAAAATTGCATGAAAAGAATTCTCTACGGTCTCAGCCCAAAACATGTTGGCCATGAACGAAAATGAAGATTGAAATTTATTTGTATTGAAAGCCGCAAGAACTTTAACACTCAAGGGCATAAATGTTGAGTCGACCCCATCGCCAATTAATATAATGAGTTCAGCAGTAAAGCGAAATTTGTTGTTTTTGCGTAACAGAAGCGGGCTCGATACGCTTTAATACACTTAAATTCAGGACTTGCTAGGACGTCGCTGCTCCGCTCTGGCCTTAAGTACGCCACTTATCAGACCCTGAGCAGTATTATGCGAATGTTGGATAGTCCAAGGCGGCCCATAAATAAACACTGTCGCCGCCTGTCAGGCGTACAAAATTGCGTAAAAGCATCGCGCCCCCTCAAAACGCATAAATCACATCAAAAAGTGGCAGTGGTGGCAGCCACTTGGCCACTTGGGCGCTTGAGCGCTTGGCCACTTGGATAAGATGGCATTTGCTAATGATAGTTATAAGGTTTATCAGCAAGAAAGCTGCAAAGCTGCGAGAGATAAGCCCTGAATTGTTTGTCAGGCCAGCTGCAAATAAACTCTGTTGGCTAATTGAGCTCAACGTGACGTATACGTGATATGCATATGCAATATGTGCACTAAATAATTGAATTTATTGAATGTCATCCGTAAGAGCTGCACAAAGCGTAACTCAATAAATATTGCAATGGAATGAAATGAAGTTACCTCAATTTATGGTCAGTTTTTGTGCGAATGCATTCAGACCTTGCCGCTTCATTGAGCTCCTCTGACGCTTCCCGGCGACTCGACGAGCATGTGGCGCGTGTATCCATTATAATTGTAATGCCGTCCTGGCTTTGGCCCTGAGCACAACAAGACGGAGTGTCAGATAGCCTGCAATGTTCCGTTGCTTGTCAATTTTTATTGCATATGCTTTAGCCTTCACTGCTCTAACGTGTGCTCCGCGCCATCATCGTCATAATCATAATCGTCATCGACATTTTGCATGCGACACGTTTGTGGCATGGCAAAACGGCAATTCAAAATTTCTTTCGCTTTGTACTGCCGCAGGCAAAGCATTCAATATTTCAATGCCTTTCCTTTGGCATTGCATATTACCGAGAATCGTATTGAATCGAATCAAATCGAATCAATCGCAACGAGTCGCATCGCCTTACATCGATTGTGCCTTTGTCACATTGCTGCACGTAGAGAGAGTGTGTGAATAAAGCCTTGCAAAATTGATGCATCTAAGTCAAGTGATTTCGTTTTGTAAATAAAATAAAATCTTAATTTTAATTGAGTGAATAGAAATTCGTTTTTATGATGTTTCGAGCTTATTTAATCAAAAGTTGTCAAACTTCAGTGTTTCGTGAGAATATAAAAGAGAATTAACACAAACTTTATTTTAACAAATTTAAACCAAATAAAAAAAAATAAAAAAATAAATTTTAATTTAAAAAAAAACGGAAAAATTTAATTAACTAAACATTATTGTTAAACAGTATGTCAACTTCGACTATTGGCAAAGGGAGAACTATGTCAAAAATACGATTTTTATGCCGGAGCCACGTTCACGCTGGGAGAGTTGGGAAACTGGTTAAGATGAACGGTGGCAGCGAGTTGGCGCAGTAAATAGGCAATTAGCAAGTTCTGAAGCGCTGCGCAGGCTTGCCATTGTCTAGTTGCTGCCCAGGTGCGTGTGTGTCTTGGCCAAATACTCACAATGTAATACTCGAAGGGAGCTCGACACAACGGACAAACCTTGGCGGGACAGACATCGTAGACCTTCTTGAGGCAGCGCTTGCAAAATGTGTGCTTGCACGGAGTGCTCACAATGCGATGCTTGCGGCAGAGGCAAATTGCACAATAGTCCTCAGCCTCGTCCATTTGTTGCATTTGGTTTTGTTGTTTGGTTATGGGAAAATTTTTATAAATGTTTGTTATTCAATAAAAGGGCTACAAAAATAACGAGTCAGTCATACACTCCGTGAAGTTTAATGCAAAGACGATTTTTCATTTCCTTTTTCCAATTTTTTCCTTTCTTCTCTCTTCTCTTGCGTTTCATCTATCATACGTTAAGCATACGCCACGTATTACACGAACTTCATTTTATTTATGACAAAAACAACGAATCATAAAATGAATCATACAATAAATCGCAAGGCACACAACATACAGGGTGCCTGGCAAATAATACATATTAATAAATCAATAAATTGTAATAAGAATTTAGGAGATTTATAAAAATCTCTAAGCAAAATAGTTTTTCTTTTTATATTTTTAATACTCTTGTTTTGTTCTGTTCTGGAACACCCTATAATTGAGTATGTGCTGGTCTGAAATAAGCTTTGCGAGCGCGTTCGCTTGCTCATTGCTTGACATGATAAGATATTATCGAGTCTATGAGCAACAGCCAAGCAGTGAGCCAAGATTAATTATCGGTCTGACGGATGCTAGAATTTTGTTAACTAACTTAAACTTATGTCCTTTCTGTTCTCTTACTTACAGCGGCTGGCTGGGCAGCGCCAAGGGCTGGTTGGGCAATGCTTCGATACCGTCGATGCCGGCCATGGCAATGCCGTCGATGCCATCGATGCCAGCGATGCCATCGATACCATCGATTCCTGGACTGCGTAAGAGCGGCGCCGCCGATGGAGCTGAGGGCGGCGAAGGCGCCGCAGACGCCGCAGCTGCGGGTGCTGTGAGTGGTGGCGACGATGACGACAAGTCGAGGTATATTAGGTATGGGCCCATGCTTAAGAATGACGGAATTATATACGATACAGCGGCAGTAAAGCAAAACTCATATTAAAGCGCGTTTGTACTTTACTTTACTTTTCTTTTATATATATATAATTTATTTTTTTCCGTAAGTTTTTTGTTTTAGCTTTAGTTTGTGTAACAATTGGGGCACCTTTTGTTCAAATTTTACTCACTTGGCGGCTTTTGTTCGTCAGTTTTTGTTCATTTTATTATGATAATTTTTTTTTTTGCTTTTGGTTTCACCCTGAGGAATGAATAAGGGCAACCTTTGAATTTTGAAACGAAACCCAAATTAATTATACAGCTCCCCAGCCCCAGCCCCAGCCTTACTTTGATACTGCCCACTAAAGTGACTACACAATAAAATACAACTAATAATAACATATTTATAAATATATATTTTAAACACAAGTTATCCTAAATATACCCTAAATATACTACTGTCATTTAGTTTTGCTTTTCACTATTCACCAACTTTCGTCAATAATTATTTAGCTATGGAAACAAAATTCACTAAAAACAAATTCTATCCTTTTTTGTTACTTAAACTTTTTACTTAAACTTTTTCTTCTGCTAAAATTTAGTTTGACCTTTTAAAACTTTGCCTTAAAACATATCTTTAATACTGTACAGACAATTACCCACATATAACTCTTTGAAACGTTTTTGTATGTATACTATATATCGACTAAAGCCAAAGAGCCGATTTTCAAAAAGAATTTTGTCCTTTTACAAAGTGTGCACTTAAGGTAAGTTATTTTATATATAATTTCAGAAATATAAAAATCGACACTTTGTAAAGGGACACAATTGTGGATAAAGAGGTTCCAAGACTGTTCTATAAGAAACGGCAACATAAAAAACATAACTCATAAAGCTCATAATCAAGTTATACAATCATTTAATTTTAATTCATGCAGTATTGAGACACGCCCCATACAACATTGACCAAAGCCCATCATTAGTTGGTTTCACACTTTGATTCAATTCATATTTTCATTTCGTAACGCGTTATATAAAATAAAATCAATATATATATATAGCATTTAGTGCAGAAAGAATTGTTCAAGTATCAGATTCCATCATTATTGAGCGGCCCATCAAACAACCTCAAAGGATTTAAGCGAAACTCACACCAAAAATCTGGAAATATTCTTATGGCTACGCAGTAGATAAAACAAAAAACTAAAAACTAATTGTTGTTAATAGTTGTTATCATTTAATTTGATATTAGTTAACAATGTTTTTATTCCATCCTAATTTCTCAGTGTCGATGTGTAGCTCATCCTGTCTCAGTAAACATTTTACTCTCACTATATTTTCATCTGCAGCTCTACAGCTCCTTCCAAATACACTCTCTAATTGTGCTAGAGTTCGCATTGACCATAAACTCACAGACAAACAATGGAAAAGTCGAGAACTCTAAGCTACACAGAATTGTCTTTTAGTGCATGTCTAAGTGTCCTTTCTTCGGCCTCTTGATTTCAGTTTCATGCATTTTTAATATTTCGATTTGATTTCCATTCCATTCATTCAACATTCATTTGAATTACCTACTCACATTGCATTTAACTCGCAATCATCATAAAAATTTAAATATTAATTGTCCTTAACTGAAAAACGTGTAAATATACATAAACGTTGACTTGAATAGAAATTGTCGCAGACTCAATGAATACACGCAATTAATGTTAATAAATCGAACTTTGAACTCAAATAGTCAATTACACAATATACACAATTACAATGTAATTATCGAGCAGCCGATAAATTGGCATGCCTCTGCTCATCCTCATTGCAACTCAATTCACAAATATTCTGGGCAACGCGTTATCAATTAGTTGGCATTCGCATAACAAGCCCAACCAATCGGGCGTGGTCAACTAGGCAATACCCTGCATGAAATGAGAGTCTATAATAGAGCCCTCACTCTGAATATTTCTTTATATTTAATTGCTTTGGTTTCTATCTATTTGCAATCGTTGCAGAGTAGAAACTTCAAATTACACTGGGCTTCCTCTGTCACCCTTACTTACCTAAGTGAACTTGATTAATTAACACTATCAATTAAATTTGTGCCCTTTGTAGTAAAATAAAACTTTAGCTTAACAAATATTGTCCAAATATATATATGATATACATATAAGTATATGTTTGTTTGAGGTTTAATTAATTTAGTCTATGATAAGATTTAGTAACTATTCTAGTAACAAACTCTAAACTTAAGTCGCACCCATTTTCAGCCTATTTATTTTTTGCTAACGCAAATCCAATTCGATTATTGGCTTTTTTGATTTGACTGGTTAGAATGTTGCATGCTGCATGAGTTCAACTGCAATATCCACACCAGATAAACTGTATATATACAATACTTATATATAAATGTGCTCAAATTTCACAAATATAAATCTGACGCAAGCTTAATTTTCTGCCATCTCTCTCTTCTCTCTCTTTCTCTCTCTATCTCTCTGTGTTGCACGCTGACGCAATTTCTAATTACAGCGCTACAGAGGGTGCTGATTCGCATCCAGCATCGGGCGGCGGCACGCCCACTGGCGACGAGGGTCAAATTGGACAGGGTAAGGGCGATGAATTGAAAAGTACGTGTCACAGTTTGATTGGTAATAAAAACATCAATACAAAAGTCAAATGAAAGTCAACTTAAAACATAAAAAACAATCTAAAGTAAAGTTCAATTGCAAAATGCCAAATCGAAAATCGAACTAAATTATAGAGAGCGGTGACAGGTTACTAACTACCTAAGATTACTGCCCGTAGTTGATATGCTCACAAACTTATAGCACCCACCTATTTATACACCCATAGTTGATAATTCCGAATTCCTCAAACTGTTTAGTTTGTAGCCTAGCAATTTTGGTTGACTGCATCACTTAGTTGGAACCACTTTTACTTCAACTTCATGCCCATCATAATCAAAACACTAATTGAACCTTGTATCGCTTCCACAGTTACCACAAAAGTAACACAGCAGGCCAAGCACTTCGGTTCGTTCTTGTCGTCGGCCATCAGCAAGGCTGGCAGCAAGATCAAGGAAACGGTCAAGGATAATGTGAGTAAAATCGTAAAGTACCACAACCACATATTGTATATGTCATTTGTTGCTGTTCTTGAACACTTAGACCATACTCGATTCGTTCAACAAGGAGCAGGAGGCATTCATTAAGGGCCAGGGCGGTGCCGGCAATGGTGCTGCCCCCTGGATTGGCCATGCTAATGAGTCAAAGATCAAGGAGGAGATCTTGGGCTTGTCACAGGATCGCCGCAACTTTGTGCGCGCTCCGCCAGCCGGCGTGGACTTTGAGTTTAGCTATGACTCTGCATATCCCACTGCCATAGCCATTATGGCCGAAGACAAGGCGCTCGAAACGATGCGCTTCGAATTGGTGCCCAAGATGTAAGTGCAGCCGCAGTCCATTCTATGCCAATTGGAAAGATTCTCATTAATATCCTTGCACAGCATCACTGAGGAGAACTTCTGGCGGAATTATTTCTATCGAGTCTCACTAATCATCCAGGCCGCCGAGCTGGGCACCTTGGGCGCTGATGGTGTGGGCCAGGCTTCCAGCGGTGAAGATGGTAAGTTCATTGCAGTTAATGGCCCATCAGCTATCACACCAATGACCAAAGAATAGATCACAATCAAGCGCTGGCACAGAAGCGGTTAACATGCGCCAGTTTTTGATTTTCTTGCGCTTTCCTCTTCAGTATCTTGCTCTACTACTAAACTCTCTTTCTCTGTCACACACATACACATACTAAAACTCGCTATTCGCGCGCTCTTTGAATTAACTCTGTCAATCTACTGTCACTCTCGCTATCTCTCTCTCTGTCTCTCTATCTCTTTCTCTCTAAGTCTAAGTTTCCACTTATGATTTCGTAACAGTTTCTTTTCACACACGCGCCTGTTCTCTTTTAAGTTTGAATTAGCTCCAAGTTACAAGTCTCTCGTTTATCTTTCGGCTAGTATCTGTACCACACACCGCCTATAGTATGCTCTGAACGTTGAGTTTCTGTTTCTGTTTCTGTTCCGTTTTAATGATTTTAAACAATTTCGGTTCGGTTTTAGTTTGTAATTGTCCTTCAAGTGCACCGGCCTGTCTGTCGCCTGTGCTAAAGATTCGATTTCCTTTCGATTGCGTAAATCATTTTCACCAATTCACCCTGTCGTGCGTTCAGCTCTTAAAATCAATAATCAAATATCA